ACAGACAGACAGACAGACAGACAGACAGACAGACAGACAGACAGACAGACAGACAGACAGACAGAGCACGCATGCACGAGACAGCTGAGAATGTGTCTCTCATGGAGGAGAACAGTCTGTCTCTCTGATCCTGCCACTCCCCACTACACACGTCTGTACAAACCATCTCGGTGCGGGCGGCGGGCGGGTGCTCTGGTGTCATTGGCTCCTTGCTTCCTCTCAAACATCCATCGACCTTATTTCTCCTTCTTCTTTTCTTTGTACGTCACACTCCAGAAACGCTTCTAACAATGGCACTTATACGACCTATTTCTGTTGCAAGACTCTCTCTCTCTCTCTCTCTCTCTCTCTCTCTCTCTCTCTCTCTCTCTCTCTCTCTCTCTCTCCACAACAGCGGGGACCGAGGACCTTTGAAATGATCATGTTGAACGCCCCTAGCAACGCTATAAGCTGATTTAAGAGGCGGGCGTATCTTTGACAGGAAGATACAGTATCTTTGACAGGATGATAGAGTATCTTTGACAGGAAGACATCCTATCAAATATCTGCATGCACGAGCCGAGTGTTGGGATGTGTCCAATTTGTCGTGACATAACCACCTAACTGTCCGACGTGTCGTGACCTAACCACCTAAATGTCCCACGTGTCGTGAACTAACCACCTAACTGTCCCACGTGTCGTGATCTAACCACCTAACTGACCAAGTGTCGTGACCTAACCACCTAACTGTTCCACGTGTCATGACCTAACCACCTAACTGTTCCACGTGTCATGACCTAACCACCTAACTGTCCCACGTGTCGTGATCTAACCACCTAACTGTCCCACGTGACAGCCCACTGGACGTCATGTGAACAAACCTAGGTGTAGATTTGGTCAAAGTTTTACGTCATTTGCAACACAATCTGGTCACGTAAGTGCCGACGTATGGAGGTGTTACAAACCCAGTAAGACAAGGAGGGGGAGACGAGGACGATAGACGTTTGAAAACACTGACAATGACAAACCAAGGAAAAACCGACAGCGACAATCCACAGAACCCAGTGGCAGTGACAGTGACAGTGACAGTAACAGTGACAGTGACAGTGGCAGTGACAGTGACAGTGACAGTGACAGTGACAGTAACAGTGACAGTGGCAGTGGCAGTAACAGTGACAGTGACAGTGGCAGTGACAGACACAGAACACAGTGACAGTGACAGTGACAGTGGCAGTGACAGTGACCGTGACAATGACAGTGACAGTGACCGTGACAGAGACAGTGACAGTGACACTGGCAGTGACAATGACAGACAGTGACAGACAGTGACAGACACAGAACACAATGACAGTGACAGAACACAGTGACAGTGACAGTGACAGAGCCCCGACCAGTGAGAGGAGGGCGCGTGCAGTTACCCCTGAGGCGATGAGGTCCATCATGAGCCTCTGTTTGTGCAGCAGTCTCTCCATGTGTTTCTCGAAGGATGCCGCCAGGGTGAGCGTCGAGTCGTGCATGGACAGCCCGAGCTGTGACGTCATGTCCGGGCTGTCGTCGGACGAGTCTGATGTCTGGTACTCGCTGTTCGACGGGGAGATCTGGGGGTCAGAGGGCACGGTGGGGGGTTAGGAGGTGTGGTGAGGAGGTCTGATACTCATTGTTGGACGGGGAGATCTGGGGGGGGAGGAGGTGAAGGGTTAGAGGTGAAGGTTAGAGGTGAAGGTTAGAGGTGGAGGTTAGAGGTGAAGGTCAGAGGTGAAGGTTAGAGGTGAAGGTTAGAGGTGAAGGTTAGAGGTGAAGGTCAGAGGTGAAGGTTAGAGGTGAAGGTCAGAGGTGAAGGTTAGAGGTGAAGGTTAGAGATGAAGGTTAGAGGTGAAAGTTAGAGGTGAAGGTTAGAGGTGAAGGTTAGAGGTGAAGGTTAGAGGTGAAGGTTAGAGGGGGTTAGGAGGGGTGGTGAAGAGGTCTGGTTCTCGCTGTTGGAGGGGGGAGACCTGTGGGGGAGGGGGTCAGAGGGCACGGAGGGAGGTTAGGAGA